CATTTTCGCTGAGAAGGCAGTTCCTACAGGTATTGGTAGTACTTGTTTTGGTGACTTTTATTTTTTTTATTTTTTATTTTTATTTTTTTAATATATTTTTATTGATTAAGATATTACATATGTGTCCTTGTCCCCACGTTACCCTCTACCTCCCCCCCCCCCCCGCTCATGCCCTCACCCCCCCACCCCTGTTGTCCGTGTCCATTGGTTAGGCCTATATGCCTGCATGTAAGTCCTTTGGTTGATCTTTCCCCCTTACCCCCACTCTCCCCTACCCTCCCTCCAAAGCCCGACAGTCCAATCAATGCCTCTCCGTCTCTGGATCAGTCCTTGTTCATCAGTTTATGTTGTTCATTATATTCCACAAATGAGTGAGATCATGTGGTATTTATCCGCTCTCCAGTTCCATCCATGCTGTGGCAAATGGTAAGAGTTCCTTTTTCTTCTTCCTCTTCTTAAAGAATACCTTTCAGCATTTCATATAATGCTGGTTTGGTGGTGATGAACTCCTTTAGCTTTTTCTTATCCGTGAAGGTCTTTCTCTGACCTTCTATTCTGAATGATAGCTTTGCTGGATAAAGTAATCTTGGTTGCAGGTTCATGCTTTTCATCACTTTGAATATTTCTTGCCACTCCCTTCTGGCCTGCATGGTTTCTGTTGAGAAATCAGCTGACAATCGTATGGGTACTCCCTTGTAGGTAACTGACTGTCTTTCTCTTGCTGCTTTTAAGATTCTCTTTGTCTTTTGCTCTTGGCATTTTAATTATGATGTGTCTTGGTGTGGTCCTCTTTGGATTCCTCCTGTTTGGGGTTCTCTGCGCTTCCTGGACTTGGAAGTCTATTTCTTTCACCAGGTGGGGGAAGTTTTCTGTCATTATTTCTTCAAACAGGTTTTCAATATCTTGCCCTCTCTCTTCTTCTGGTACCCCTATAATTCTGATGTTGGTACGCTTGAAGTTGTCCCAGAGGCTCCTTACACTATCTTCATATTTTTGGAATCTCTTTTCTTTTTTCTTTTTCAGTTGGGTATTTTTTGTTTCTTTGTATTTCAAATCTTTGACTTGATTTTTGGGATCCTCTTGTCTGCTGTTGGATCTCCGTAGATTATTCTTTATTTCAGTCAGTGTATGCTTAATTTCTAGTTGGTCCTTTTTCATGTCCTCCATGGTCTCACTATACTTATTGAGGGACTCATTAAATTTATCGGCGGTTTCCATAAAATTCTTGAAAAACCTTATAAACGTGGCCTTGAACTCTATATCCAGTCGTTTGCTTTCCTCCATTTCTGCCATTTGTGACCTGTTTCTTTGTCTCCGCATTTTGGCTGCTTCCCTGTGTTGATAGAGTGGCTTTGTGTGCTAGGTGTCCTGTAGGGCCCAGTGGCTCAGCCTCCCCAGTTACCTGAGGTGGACACTCTTGGTGCACCCCCTCGTGGGCTTTGTGCACAGTCTTGTTGTAGCTATGCCTTGGTTGTTGTAGGATCACTGGGAGGAATTGACCTCCAGGGCAACTGGCAGCGAGAATCAGCTGCCCTGATGATGCTCAGCTGTGTAGCAATGCAAGCCGCTGTGGGGCCTTGGGCCTTCTCTTGGAAGCTCTGGGTCTATCCGGCCGGCTTCAGTTAGGTAATTACAGGTTGCAAATGGCCGGGGCATTCATATGCAAAAGCCTCTGCCGCAGCCTGGGCAGGGCGGGGTCTCAAGAAATCAAAGGGCGGAGAAAGCAGTGATGGCGGAGCCTCAGCCCCGCCCTAAGGAGTCTCGAGTCCCAGTGTCCCGGCAATGGCTGCAAGCACCTCTGAGGGAAAGCCGCTCTCAAGCTCGCCCGCTGCCAGACAGTCCAGTATCTCCCCGTATGAGTCCTGGGTCCCCAGAGACTTCCCGGAACCGGATTTCAGAGCCCTCGGGAGCTTGTGTCTCCCTCCGGATTCAAAAAGACAGCCGCGTCCTCAGGTGCCAGACCCTTTCCGCGCGCGAGCCCCCGTACCTCTGCACTCCACCTCCGCAGCTCCTCCCGCTCGCAGTGTGCTTTTCTTTCCTTCTAGTTGTAGAATTTACACTCAGCCAGCCCTCCTGTAGTTCTGGATGATGTCCACCTTGTGTTCTTGATGCATTTATCGATTGTTGTGGGAAGCAGCAATTTCCCGGTGTTTATCTATGCCGCCATCTTAGTTTCTGGTAGTACTTGTTGACTGTTCTCTAGACATAGTCTGTCATCGCCACCGCCTTCTTTCAACTTCAAACTTCTTTGTCTTTAGACATTTTCTGTCGAAGACGCCTCTGTTTTTCAGCTTCAGAGCGACGTTTTTCCAGTAGCTGCACTTCAGATACATTCTGTTGCAGACGCCGCCTTCTTTCAAGATCTGCACGTTGCTCTGCAGACATTTTCGGTCGATAACACCGGCACCTTTCGGCTGCAGAGCTACCTTGTATCAACCGTTTTTCTTTGGACATAGTCCTACCTGTCTACTGAAACGGTCTGAGATGCAGGTGAATGAGAGTCCTGCCTGTCAGGCCACTGAGAGCTGTGTGACAAACGGCTGATTCTGGATGATTCTGTGGGGGTGGGACTTCCTCCTCCCTGCTGTCAGTTTCCAAAACTGTCATGAGGAAGCTGGGATGACAGAGGAGCCACACTGTCCCATCCACCTGGGTCAAAGGCGGGAGGGCCGGTTGGAGGCGTGGCCGGTGGCCGATCGCTGAGGTTGTGCCCACCAGCCCCAGATTTCCCCGGAAGGGTGGTTGGGGCCCTGGCTGGTGGCGGATCGCCACGGTCCCGCCTGCCAGCCCTGGGTCGGGTCCCATACCGGACACCTGTCTCCCGGGTCACAGATAGCAGGCCCGAATTGTGGCAGGGCAGGTGTGATGGCGCTGTCCTGCCCTGCCTGCAGTATGCGAATCAGCCAGCATCTTTGTTGGCGGTTAACCGCCATCTTAGTTGGCAGTTAATTTGCATATCGCCCTGTTTAGCCAATGGGAAGCGTAGTGGAGGTACGGTTAATTTCAATCTTTGTCTTTTATTAGACAGGACGTTGACAGCCCCACTTAGAAAAAGAGAGTCCAGGTGTTGGAGTTAGACTTTACTTCAAACCCTGAATCTACCACTGACCAGTTATGTCAGACTTAATGGCTCTGAGCCTTAGTTTCTGAATCTGTAAAATGGGTTGTTGTAGGTGTTATAATGTACCCCACGAATCCCACAAAGGACACCCCAAGTCAAGAATTTGCATTAAGGAGTCATTTATTCAAATGACGGCCAATCTCGATGGCCCGAGTGACTACTGTACCGAGCTTATAAAGGTAAAAACCACATCCTGCTAGACGTTGGAATGTGGAGCTAACTTGCGAAAGCAGTTTGGACGGAAGCAGAATTGAGCAAAGTTAATAATCTCTAAAGGTCATCTACAATCTCAGTTCCTGGAGCCACTGAACCAATGGGAAGCAATCTTTGGTGGTTCTGGTCCTCAGGCACGGAAGATAACCTTTGTGATTTGGGCTGGCAACATAATGGGGTGATTTATGTGAGTTTCTAGGTCTCAGTCTGGAAACTGAGGTAACTACCCTATTGTTAAGGCAAGCAGGTATGTACAGAAGCCAAGATAGCAGGGTTAAACTTAAACAGCAGTTTTATACCAAAAAGATGGAGGTTACTGTTTCATAAGGACTCAGTGAGGTGATTAAACTGGGAGCACTCTGGAAAATGCAAGGCTTTACAAATGATGCTGCTTTTTATCACTCAGCCCTCTGGAATGCAGCTCTGTGGTGGCTCCAGAAACTGACACCCCCAGTTCTCCTGAACCCAGGCACATCAGTTCTAATTTGCATCCTACTCTCCAGCCAGAGAGTGGGTTTCTCCATACCCGGGCCCCCACTCCTTTTCATATTTCCTAGTTACCTGAGGCACCTCCCCCATTCCCACCTTGTTCTAAGAACAGACTGGGAAGAAAGTCCCGAGTCTCACCCCTCACCCCTAGTCTCAGAGCCCCAGCCTCAATCTTCTGCCCTGAAAGAATTCTTTTGATGCTTGGGGCTAATCCTTGGGAAGGGGTGCTGCCAACAGGACCTTTCATTCCTCCTGAGATCCCAGAACCCCGTCCTCCTTGGACCAAGCCTGCTCTTGGTGTCCAATGGCAGATGGGAGCCCACAGGAGACTCACTGTAGTTCCCTTCTACCCGTTACACTGCTAAGGCTGGCCCTCACAGCACTGCCCTGTCCCGCCCTGTCCCTGGCCCCAGTGAGCTGGCTGGCATTGCAGGTACCAGGGTGACCACGGGGAGGAGGGTGTGAGGGCTGGGGAGGGAGAGGGGTTGACAGAAGGCGGGGACTCTGGGGGCTGAGGACTATAAAGGGGCCAAGAGGAGAGCAGGGGACGCATCCAGCAGGAGGCAGGCACCTGCTTGGTCTAGGGCTTGCTTGCTCAGGACTCAGGGTAAGTGGGCTCAGTCTGCCCCAAGGTCTGGGGGACTCCCTGGGTCTAGGGCCTGGGATGGGGGGAAGAATTGATGGTTTGCAGGACGGGGGCGCCTCAGGAGGCCTGAGGTCCTGTGTGGATCTGCCTCTACATATGGACGAACCTCGCACCCTCGAAGAGCAATCTGTGACTGGATTGCAAATGTGTGTGGGGAGTGGTTGGTGGTGGCTGTGGACACAAATGTGTGAGTGCCTTTGAGCTTGTGAGTGATTGGGATCCGTGTGTGTGTGTGTGTGTGTGTGTGTGTGTGTGTGTGTGTTATGACCGTGATCTTCTGTATCTGCATGTCTCTCCCTGGTGGATGGGTAGTGGGGGTTCGGGAGGTAGTGAACCGCAGGAGCACACGTCCCCCCAACCCCTTCCCTCCAGCCCCAACCCCACATCTGCCTACTCAGAGCCCATCAGGCCTGGACTTCATGCGTCCTGTGCCTCCTGCCCCCTGTCCCACCTTCTCTGCTCCCTTTTTCTACTTTGCTGAGGTCCTGGCTGAGCTCTGGCTGCTGCACTGCTACGGAAGGAGCTGTCTACACTTGCTGAGGCAGTGCCCTAGGCGGTGGGGTGTCAGGTCCCAGCGGCTCTTTGCTTCGCCCTCTTGTCCCCAGGCTTGGAGAAGTAAGTGATGGGCGAGGGGTTGGGTGGGTTCTGCCTCCAATGCCCTCCACTCCTTGCTCCTCAGATGGCTGCTGCACGCCGCTGCCTCTCCCTGCTGTTCCTGTCCACGTGTGTGGCTCTGTTGCTGCAGCCGCCGCTGGGTGCCTCGGGGGACATACTAGAGCCAGACTACCCAGGGGACGACGCCACACCGGAGCAGTTGGCCCAGTATGCGGCCGAGCTCCGCAGATACATCAACAGGGTGACCAGGCTCAGGTGTGTACAGAGGGAGGGGGAGTGGTCCCGGCTCCTGCCCCTTCCACGTTCTTGGGAAAGCAGAACCACTCTACTGGCCAGGCCTCGGCCCGTGTGCCCCTGGAGGATGGTACCCAAGGAAGGGCAGGAGGCAGGTGGGCTGGCACCTGGGCACAGTGCTGGCTAGCCCCAGCTGCCTCTCCCCTCCCAGATACGGGAAAAGAGATCAAGAAGAAACGCCGTGGAACTTCTTGGAGTGGGGAGCCCCCAACAAAGTTGCCCCCAGGTAGGTTTGGTTCCCCGCCCTGTGTGCCAGCTCCCTGGGGCTGAAATGGGGGTGGAGGTGAGTTGGGGGTTTGGGGGGAGAACAGGGGCCCAGGGCTTGCCTGAGGCCGCCTGAGGTCTGAGGACTGCCCACTCCCCCTGCCATGTGCGGGCCTCTCCCCACAGGGAGCGCAGCCAGATGGACGTGTAAGCCACCCCCGCCTCCTCCGCCTCCAAGGGCAGTGCCGGCCCAGGTCTCTCCTCCACACCCGTGGCTCTGGCCAAAGCTTGCTCCCCACTCCCACAGGCAAAATAAAGCAAATCAAAGACATTGCCTCTCTCGTGTGTCTCTGTGGACCCTGGTGCATCAGGAGTAGCCAAAGGCAGGAGAGAAAGGGGGAGGGGACGGAGGGGAAGGGAAAGAAGGGTGTTCGGAATGGACAGACCATCTATGGGGCCATCAGAGCCATTGAGCTCAGCTCCACTTCACGGAGGGGCAAGTGTGGCCCAGAGGGAGGCAGCGACTCCCCCAGGGTCACTCAGCGAGTCAGGGAAGTGGCGCTGGAGCCTGAATCTTCCATTTCAGCACCTATAGGCTCTCCTGATCATTGGCCCAATAACAGCCCAGTGCCCAAATGGACCCCCTCCCATTCTTCCCTATAGTTTAGTGTCCTTGGCATGGGGGCAGCGAGACAGCCCAGCCCAGAGGAATGACTGGAGCAAAGACAGCCACTGGCTGCAGGATGGCACCAGAGCTGCCCTCCTGTGGCCGGTCACTGTGCATGGTCCGCTGGAGCACGTAAGGGGTAGGAGGCTCAGCAGCAGCCTGGCCCACGAGGGGGACTGTGAAGGGGAGGGGTCTGGAGATGGTGTCAGGTGCAGGTTGTGGGGAAAAGGAGCCTACTGTGTGCCAGGGCTACTGAACCTCACAGCACGTCTGCGAGGATGATCACTGTTATCCTCACCCTACAGAGGGGAAAGCAAGGCCGAGAGAAGTGCCGCAGTTTGTCCGAGGTCCTGCCCCAGATGGCATTCTAATAGAGGGTCTAGCTGACTCTAGCATCAGCGTTAGAGTCAAATGAGCTTGTGTTCAAACAGGAAATCTGCCACTTGCTGTCTGTGTGCTTTTGGGCAGGGATATAACCTCTCTGAGCCTCAGATTCTGCATCTGTAAAATGGACAGAATGACAGGGTTGTAGTGAGCATGACATGAAATGATGCAGGTGAAACATTAGCTGGGCCTTTGACCCAGGTAAACCGGAGCTTGCAAGGGGCAGACTTGCAATGTAGCCACTGGCCAACCGGCTGTTTCCATGAATAAGTGGAGATAACAAGCTCTTCATACGTGGAAAGAGTGGGGAGAGGCCCATGGGAGGGGCTCTGGAAGGCAGGCTTTGGGGGACTATAGGAAATATCCTTGAAGAACCAGAAATTTGGAAAGAACTTGTCCTGAGAGGTTGTGAACTCCTGGGTGCAGGAGCCATTCAGGAGGGGGGGAGGGGACGGGAGGGGAGGGAATGGGAGGAGGGCCATGGGGAATTCAGGTTCCATGGAGTGGGCTAACCTGTGGATTCCACACTGCAGGTCTGGGAGGGCCCAGAAGGAATCCTGCACCTGTTGTGTGTGTGTGTGTGTGTGTGTGTGTGTGTGTATGTGTGTGTGTGACTGGGCTTGTCTCTCCCCCTTTCCTGGGCTAGGAGCACCTGTGGATAAGGGAGAGTCATGGGGGTAGGGGTGGGAGGGAGAAGCGAGAGAATTAGAACTTTCCTGGTTCCTGGAATGGCTTCTCCTGCCCCCCTCACATTCTCAGCCTGCAGGGATGGGGGCCTGTGGGCTTGGTGGATGAGGGGACGCACCTTCCTGGGCTCAGCTCCTCACACTGACCCACAGCCATGACACCACATCATGTTTCCCCTCCAGTCTGGCTGTGTCTGGTGCGTGCAAAGGACCTGAAAGTGGAACCAGGCCCCAAGAGGCAAAGGGCTGGAGAGGAAGCAGCTGCCAGGCAAATGCATGTCTCAAGCTGATTCTTAACTTCAAGGGTGTGTCTGGGAGGAGGGCTGGTCCCAGCAGATCAGAATTTGGATTTGGATGATGGAGCCTGAAGACCTGACCCCAGAATGTTCTTTGCAGCTGAGAGGATGGGTTCTGAGTAGGGAGAGGTGTAGACACTTCCCAGCATCAAGAATTAGGCCCCTGCCCAGGACACACCTGTGAGTTGGATCTGCCCCTGCCCAGGCCTCTCTGATGGCCACCAGCTTCTGGAGGAGAGCCCCACTCTCTCACCAGCTTCCCAGGAACAGGCCTGGCTGGGCTCCCAGCCCTTCCCCTGCTCTGCTTGCTGCCAGCAGGCCTGGCAGGGTTCAGGAGGCAAAGGCAGGACCTTATGCTCTACACTAGTGGTTCTCAACATGTGGGTCGCGACCCCTTTGGGGGTCAAATGACCCTTTCACAGGGGTTGCCTAAGACCATCAGAAAACACATATATAATTACATATTGTTTTTGTGATTAATCACTTTGCTTTAATTATGTTCAATTTGTAACAATGAAATTGGGGGGCACCACAACATGAGGAACTGTATTAAAGGGTCGCGGCATTAGGAGGGTTGAGAACCACTGCTGGACACACTAAGGGGCTGCTGCTTGTCCGTGTACCATCACTGAGGTCCCGGGCCCGTCATGGAGATGGCGCCGCCCTGCTGTGTAGAAACTTGGGGTGGGGGCCTGGCTGAAGCCCCCCCTTTGAGCTTGCTGGAATGGGCCTCAGTCGCTCTGCTCTGCCTCTCCTGGCCGTGGGGTGTGTGTGAGGTGGATGGGCTGCAGGAGCCGGCAGGGAAGCCCCTAAAGCCAGGCCTTTTCCCAGCAGGAGCTCCAGGGTCCTCTCCCCCTTGCAGGACAGGAGGGTGCCTTCCTGTCCAGGGCTCACATTGGTCACCGAAGCAACAAACATTCCATTTCTCTTTATTGTTGTCACTGGGGGTGGGGTGGGAGGAGTTAGGGCCCCTTCATAAAAAATGTGAAGGAGATCGGTGGACCCGCGAGGAGACTTGAGTCGGGCATCTGGAGGGGAAAGCCCAGCCTGGAGAAGGAAGTCCCTGTGGCCCCGGTACCCCTGCTCCCCAGGTCTTCCTCTCGCTCCCGCCCAACCTGCCCCCAGTTCCGAGGCTCCTGACTGGTTGGTGCCGGCTGTGCCCGGCTCTCCTACCTGGGACCCTGGGAGCAGCTCGGTGGTCAGGGTTTCGTGGCGCCGCGCGGTGCGGGGTTAGTGGGATTCCGCGGGTTGGCGGGGTTCGCTGGAGGGAGGCTGGTGGCGTTTGCTGGTGGGGGTTTCCTGGCGTTCACTGGGGGGGCTTTTGTGCTGTTGTCGTCTTTCTTGGGGTGTTTAACATCCTTAGATTTCACGCTGGAAAACACGTCTTTGCAGAAGTCGTGGGGCTGCGACGCGCGGGGTGGGAGGGGTGGGGGCAGGTGGCGTCCGGCCCCTCCCCTCTCCCTCCCTCCCTCGGGCTCTCAGCCCGCTCACCTGCTGTTGAAGAGCTTCTCTATGTACTTGCCCACTTGGCCGAAGGTGCTCAGCCAATAGGCCGCCCGGGGCCCGCGGGGCGGCTGCGGCTGCGGCTGCGGCTGCGGCTCCTCCCCCAGCGCGCCCTCCGGCGGCTGCAGCAGCACCGCCAGGCACAGCAGGGCCAGGGCGCACGCGCAGCGCAGAGCCGGCGTCTGGAGGGGGCGGGGCAGACAGAGCCGCGGCGGTCACGTGAGCCCACCCCTCCGACACCGCGCGTTGGGGTGAGCTGGGCGCTCAGGTCCAGGGACGGGTCTGCGTGGGGTAAGGGGGATGGTGGGGGGAGGGTACACACGTTCACGAGCGCCCTTAGGGACATCCAGGTGCCCAGGCCCAATGGTGCCCCTAGACTTGCACAGTGACGCGCACAAAGTACCAGGGGAACCGGAGCCGGGAGGATGGACTGCGAGGCACGCCCTGAGATGGACACACAGACACACACACACACACACAGGGGCGCGCGCACCCCCCCCCCCACACACACACACACACGAGGGTGGCACAGAGCCGTTGGTCAGCGCCCTAACCTCACTGACCTCTCCCATAGCTCCTTGCTCACCCTACTTCAGCCTCTCCTGCCTTCTGGCAGTTCCTTTAAAATGCCAGTTCCTTTAAACTCTCCAGATTTCCTCATGGCCAATTGCCTTGCCTCCTTCGGGCATCAGCTCAAAATTCAGCTTCCAGAGGGTCCTACTCTGACACCCTTATTTTTAAAAAAATATATTTTATTGATTTTTTTACAGAGAGGAAGAGAGAGGGATAGAGAAATTAGAAACATTGATGAGAGAGAAACATCGATCAGCTGCCTCCTGCACACTCCCCACTGGGGATGTGCCTGCAACCAAGGTACATGCCCTTGACCAGCATCCATCCTGGGACCCTTCAGTCCTCAGGGCTACACTCCATCCGCTGAGCCAAACTGGTTAGGGCTGATACCTTTATTTTTTTTAAGTTTTTTTTTTTTTTTAATTTTATTTAGAGAGAGCGAGGAGGGGAGAGGGATATATAGAGAGAAACATTGATGAGAGAGGAACATCATCCATGGGCTGCCTACTGCTCACCCCCTACTGGGGATGGAGCCTGCAACCCTGGCATGTGCCCTGACTGGGAATCAGCGACCTCTTGGTTCCTGGGTCGATGCTCAACCACTGAGCCACATCAGCCGGGTAAGCCTGAACCCCTATTTTAAAAATTGCAACCTACTCATTCATCTTGCTCTACTTTCCCCTACCCCGCTCCGTTCACCTTCTAACTTACTATATTCTGTGCTTTACATTCTCTTTGTCCCTCCTAAATGCCCCCTAACCCCAACGCATGTAAGCACCATTATAGCTGGGCTCTTTGCTTGTTTTATTCACTGACGTATTACAAGAACCTAGAACAGTGCCAGACAGTAGTGCTAAATCATACACGTTAAATGAATAATTAATACAGTTACATATACCTCCATGCACACCCCCAGCCAAGCACAGAAAAGTTTGTGCCGGCACACACAGCAACTCACATATCATGATGCCCATAAACATGATACAACCT